TCAGCAATGTTTTATTAATATTAACTTAATTTGAGACTATAAAGCTTTAGGAATGACTGTGTTTTAATGTGCACTTGCAAAGTTACTGAATATGTGAACACATCATAAATGCACATCATTTACTTACATAAAAGTCATTAAGGCTGAAAACAATGATTAACAGATAACATGGCTGAACAGATTGAGCCTCAGTGTATTTCTGCTGCCTGCTCACAGTAAAAATATCCATTAATTAGCAGATTTCTGTATTTTTTGATGCATCTTTTTAATTTCCCCCCTTATATTTCTGCTTTTGAATTGCATTATGGGATCTTGATCTTCCTACCAACAACTTCTAACCTGAAAAGTGACTAAAATTGACTTTTAATGACATGTTTAATAGTTTACAGTGCTATATTGTCTGGGTTGGCATTGTATATTACGTTACAAACACCTTGTAATAAACTGCATGTATATTTAGTGTTATTTGACATATTTATTTATCCCTATATTATTATTTCTGACACATTATAAAACTTCAAACTTCTAAAATGTCACTTTGTTAAACTGTAGTGTTGAATTTTCAACATCAAAAGTCGACAGAGCAGAGCTGAACATCCCAAAATGCCATTCACAACCATAAATAAACAGAAAACACTTTCCATCACGTTGACTGTGACCCAAACAATGTAAAACAAAGTGATGGCAACAATATGCAGTATACAAATCACAGGTATATGATCTCCTTCCAAACCACAAGACGAAAAACCAGCTGGATGAGTGAGATTTGATACAGTTTCACCAACAGCAGTCATTAACACGACAATAAAAGCCATCATGCTAATAATACATTTCTAGAGAGATACGAGACAACAGAAACCGACCATTCAGGTTACAGAGGCTAACCTGGAAACATTAAACAATAGGACATTCACTCATGTAAAAAGTTGTTCCGTCACCTTGTATATTTCATTAAATTTAATATTTACACTTCATTTAATAAAATTAATGTCCTGTTTTTAGGCCATTTTTTCGCTTAATTTACTTTATGTCTGTAATAAATTATATTTTAAGAATTTAGCTATAACTTTAATTATAAAAAAAGAGAAAATATTGATTAAATCAACTTGATTAAAATGAGCATTTTCAAATTCACAGTCATTTTCCGTGACACCGATCAATAATTAAATCAATAACTTTGGTTAAAATTTGCACATTTTTTAAAGTACTGTTCGCAGTCACTTATTTTAAATGACGAACTTTTAAATAGTCAATTTAATTAATTGTTACTCATTTCATATTTATTGAATTTAATTAATAGTATTGCATGTAATCTATTACCTTAATTTTATTGAGTAGATATACGGTAATATTGTTTACGGTGTATTAAGCAAACACTGTAAAAAATGTTGGATGCTTCATGTCATCACAACACAAACCCATTAAGTTAACCTAATTGTTTCTGCAAATGTAAGTGGATTGAACACAAAACAATTAAGTTGTTAAAAAAAACCCTCAAGAATTGTGTTGATTCAGCTTATTTTGAACGTGTAATTTTAACGAATAGCAAACATAATATTTTGGAGTGAACTTAATTATATCACTACAAGCTACTACATATATATTTTTGCCACTCTCAGAAATAAAAGTACACAAGCTGTCACTATGAACATAAAAATATAACCCAATGTTAGGTTTCACAACCCATCATTTCTCTTAGTGTACACTCTTAGAAATAAAGGTACACGAGTTGTCACTGGGGTGGTACCTTTTCAAAAGGTACAAATTTGTACCTAAAAGGTCCATAATAATACTTCAAGGGTACATATTAGTATCTAAATAGTACAAAAGTGTTCCTCTTAAAATTTAGATACTAATATAGACTTTTAAGGTACCAATATGGACCCTTTAAGTACAAATTTATTGGATGAACTATTAAGTTGGCTTTTTTGCATTACTATTTTTTATTTACACTCCAAAAAAAAAAAAAAAAATTATATATATATATATATATATATATATATATATATATATATATATATATATATATATATATATATATATATATATATAAGTTAAAACAACACAATTCTTAAAGATTTTTCAGTAATCGTAATCTATTTGTATTGGGGCAGCATGAAGGAATTTTGCATTTTAACATGGTCATTTCAAGCCAGAGAATTTCTTTAAGGTCTTTTTATCTGTGGTCCGGAATGAGGGCATTTAATTCTGGATCATCACGTATACAGAAAACACTGAGCACGAAGACAAGAGCCCAGATTGCACAGATATCTGACCTACACACTAGAACAGACCTGTTACTGCAAGCCCAGTCACATTCAAGGCCGAGCGTCAGGTTACTGTAGGGTTTTCAGGCCTGCACACACATCAGATGCAGATGAACTAAATGAGCAAATGTGCAGATCTCCAGTCAGAAGTTGATGGAGATCTGCTTGTGGAGGTATAATAGCAGCAGGGAAACACGATCTCAGTGACATTCACAAATGCCCACAAGCATATTTTGACTACACCTTCAGCCTAGTTTTCTAAAGCGTGTCATTTAAAGGGATAGTTCACCCACAAATGACAATTCTGACTCACCTTTAAGTTATTATGAACAAGTTTGAGTTTCTTCTAGTGAATGAAAAGGCAGATGTTTTGAAGAATGTTTGATAACCACTGATTTCCATAAAACTTTTGTTGCCAATAAGCTTCCAATATCTGATTTAATTCTAATCAAGTGTATTTGTATAGCACTTTCTACAATTATAGTTTCAAGGCAGCTTTAACAAGAGGTGCACATTGCATTACAATGCAATATAAGACATTATAGACATTAACTTGCAGATTTATTGCATAAAGATCATTGCAAATATCTCCTTTTTAGTTCTACAGAAACGATCACTCATTTTCTTTTCAGCTTAGTACCTTTGTTACTCGGGGGTCGTCACAGCGGAATGAACTGCCAACTTATCCAGCACGTTTCATGCAGCGGATGCCCTTCCAGCTGCAATCCATCACTGGGAATAATCCACACTCATACACACACTATGGACAATTTAGCTTACCCAATTCACCCGTACCGCATGTGTTTGGACTGTAGGGGGAACCCACACGAACAAGGGGAGAACATGCAAACTCCACACAGAAATGCCAACTGACCCAGCCCAGGGACAAACCAGCAACCTTATTGCTGTGAGGCAGCAATGCTTCCCACTGCGCCAACATGAGGCCCTCAACAGAAACAAACTCAAATTTTGAAGCAGGTGTTAATGGAGTGTATTCATTTTTTGGGTGAACTATCCCTTTATTTAATTATAATAAGAAAGCGCTTAATAGTTTTCACAGCTGATTCTGGTAGTAGGAGAGTATATTCATAAATAGGACTATAAAAATCAATTAGAGACATAAACAATAGCCAGGAATCATATTTTAGGACAGAAATGCCCAAACTAGTGCCCACAGGCCAAAGTTGGCCCATCTGAGAGGAGAGGGAGAATAACAGCTATTTATATAGATTTAACAGATATTGTCATTTCTGATTTGACATTAGTTTGCTTTATTGTTAAGCGACAAAAACGTGAACTGAAATTAAATGTTGTAAATGAATGGGATATTTAGTTTTTTTTTTTTTTAAATGTAAATGCTGTCAATTGACAGACAGATAACAATTCACACGACATTGACAACGGCATAGCCCTGAACTCCATTGTGTTATACATTATTATTTTTTATTGTTGTAATAAACGCATTATGAGATGTGAATAGAAATGCATTAGGCAATACAATTTAAGTAATTTTTGCTATTTATGTTCAAGTATTTAATTAAATTAGGAAGTTATGGCAACTTTAATGCAATAGTTTGCTAAATTGACCTCCGGCCTTTTTAAGAAAATGTTGCAGCTCTGCTTTAGGACAAGGTGACTTTCTTTGACACTCTGCCCTCTGCTGGTCAAATAATGTCGTTGCATGAGTCTCTATAATTTTAAAATAGCGCCCTCATCTGCCCATTCACCTCTTATCTACAGCAACAGGTCAAAGATGTGATGTTCAGCTCTAAAACCAATATAATAGAGAGACGTGATTCATTTTTTTTTTTATTAAAAAAAAAAAAAAAAACTCCCGTCATACATTTCACCATTAATTACTGAAGATTTAATGCGTCATTTATTAAAACAAGCAACTTATATATTGACTACAAGAATATAAATTGTGCTAGAAAGATCTGATGACTTAAAATATCGCCTAAATATTACAATATACCCCTCCGAAGTCTTAAGGCTTTCTATTAATTTAATATAAATTGTGCATCAACATTTGTTGATCTCATGTCAGAAAGAGGTCACTATTTTAAGATATAAAGCAATTTAGGCATTAATCAAGATTTTTAGCTCAAAGAACTACTAATTTGTTCCTTGGGTCGGATATAGAAGACGTTAATGCATAAGTTAGGGTATAATAAGCCTTTAATAATGGTAATTGGTGCTACAATAAAATTGCATAATAACTAATCTTTTTAATAAGTTCTTGAAACTTTCAACTTTATTCACCATCATTGCATTTAAAGCTTTATATATGTAAAATTACATTATGGTGACGTATTACAATAATTTCATTAATTTACTAAAATTAATTAGCCACCACGAGTTTACTATGACCCTTATTAATGCATTAAAATGTAAAGTTTCACTTGTTAACAGTTCAAGCACCGCGAGTTAACAATGAATTACTTAATTTTTTATTCACATTTAGCCAGAGCAAGTAGATACTTTAATAAATGTATTGTTGTCAGTAAATGCATTAATGAAACCTTATTAAAGTATAAACCAAAATTACTGTTGTGACATTTTATAGAACAGCCACTTTATATTTCAACAGGAAACTTCCCTCAGCTTTACTGAAAGCAGTTAATGCATTGAAAATATTAAAATCATCAGTATACGTGACCGCTCTAAATCTACTATCTTACTCATTTAGGCTTTTGTAGTTCCACGCACTAAAACAATGAAACAAGACCAATCTAGTGAAGAAAAGTTTATTAATTGGCAAAAATAGTCTAAAAATTGTAAATGAGTATATTACATGTAGTCCATCCCAATCAAGTGCAATTAATTATACATGTGGACTGACCCTCAAGGACAATGCAGAACAATGCAACAGTTCAAATGTCAATTAATAGAGCTGTTACTGTTTGCAGACACACATCTAGCTTTATATTCAAGACAAAATGGACTTACCTCTCAGTCCAGATGACTATGGGTGTGAAACAGGAACCCAGAATGAAGCTGTTTGTCCACTTCACTACTGAGTGGTTGCAAGAACCACTTGAATAATTTCAACATTGCCCCGATTACATTAATAAACCGTCAAACAAGCCAAAACCCACAGGCTTTAAATGAGAAACTCATGAATTTACATCAACTTTCCACGCAGAGAGATGAAAACTGACAGAGCAGTCAGGAATGTGTTCAAATGCATCGCTCAAATCTCAGTTTCAAAATAAAACGCCTCACTATTTACATTAAAGCATTGATGCACTTATTTCTTGCTTAATCAACTGTTGCATGTAGAAAAATGAGCACTATATCCTTTTTACAAGTGATGCACACATACTAAAAATATATATACACAATCAATGTGAAAATGTAGCATTTTAAAAGCTTCTAAATTTAGCAGAATCAAACATAATATGGCCTGAACGTATATATATACACACACTCAAAACAATGGAAATGTGCATATTTTACAAATGCAAAAAATATGCATCAGATGTTATTTATGAACCATTAATAATCACTTCAAAAAAGGCTGAATTTGGGGAAAATAAAGTAGCATTTCACAGATTTGAAAGCAGTAGATGCAATTACAATCAAGAGAACCATTCAGAAATTATTTAAAACAAGAAACCTACAAGAATTTGAGGTTAAAATAAAAGATTTACACAATCTATCCATAAATGGTGTTCGTTATACATTACATGAACCACTTAAAATTTTGTAAACCATAAAAAGGCACAGAATATATAGCTCGTAATTAAAAAAATAAACAAAAGTAGTCAAAATGTGCTTCCTAAGTGAAATAAATAAATAAAAAAGTGCATTTTTGTACAATAAATAAAGCATATTAAGCCAGTTGACTAAATAAATCAAGTATAAACAGTACACACTTTATTACAACACAGATTCTATTTAATAATCAAGCCAAAAGACACTTACAAACATTATATGGATAATGGGAAGGGGGGGAAATGAGGGAAGAAACACGAAACGAAAGAAAGGATCCTATAAAAACAAATCTAGCTAACTGACAATTTACAACATTATAGCAGTCGGAAAGTTGTGTGTGTGTATTTTTTTCTTTTTTTGAACGAGCAGGCAAATAATTCACTTCCTTGGCCAAAACAAGCTGAACTGACTTAAGCACACAGCTACTTCCAAATAAAAGTACAAAATAAAAAGAGCTGCAGGGAATTAAGAGAGTGAGTATATAGTATTGTACAGAACTCTACTTTTTTTAGTGTGTCCGGAGTCCGGCGCTCTCCGTGACGGTGTTTGTGTGTGCGCGATGAATCCTCGTTGCTCCTGGCGTCTCCTCCTCCTCCTCTTGCGTTCAGCTGAAAGGTGTCAAAATGAAGGTGGCAGTTTGTTTTGGGGTACTGAACCCAGAAAACACACACACTTGTTTTTCCCCCTCTACATCTACACACGCTCAGACCATCCCAGACATACACAGGCATGCAAAACCACAGATTCAGAACAGCATCAAAAGCTAAAGCAGACAGTAAACGTTCAAAGTCTGATGTCTGAATTTTTTGGTTGACAAAAACACAGAATTACTGCATTTTCCAGAAAATAAGTCACGTGGTCAAAATAACTTAATATACATAAATGTATATTACAACTTAATATATTGAATGACTTAATATACACTGGAAACAAATTCATTAGATTTACTCTTTTCTTTTTAAGAGGTTGCAAACTGTTTATACAGGCTAAATTTAAACTAATTAAAGTCAAACATTACTAATTATTTTTTTCAATTCAGCCTATATAACTGTTCGCAAACACCTTAAAACAATAATAAAAGGAGTAAATCCAATTTCTTTTCCCCTCAATGTATTTTAAGCAAACGGCTGCACTATATCGTTTCAGCATCGTATCGCAATGTGATCAATCGCAGGATATGCAATGTTGATTTTATTATAATTCTTCATTTGCATGTGATTAAATCCAGTGGTTGAGTAAATTCATTTATGCATTCAGGCATAAAAAAAACAGTACCATAAGTGACTTCATAAATGATTAATTCTATTAATTATTTATACTATGCAATTACTGTACTTGAATACTGCTAGATTCAGACAATTGTTTGGATCATTTTCTTTAAATGTATTTATAGACTTTATTTTATAGATATTAAATTATCTGGTGAAATTGTATTCATACCACAATATTTAAATACATTTTTCCAATATTGTGAAGCCCCAATTCTAACAATAAAATCTACTGCTCAAAGTTTTACATAAAAAACGAGACCTTAGTTGACAATTGCAAAAGTCACACACAGTTTTGGTCAGTTGCTTTCTAAAAGGATATTTGATGTGTACAGTAAAATAAAATACAGAGTGTATAAATTAAGCGGTGTCAGATGGAATCTGCAGTTTTTTTGTTTGATATTTCCAAGTTTTTAAGATATCTATCCATCTATTCCATCCATCAAAAATTTGCTGCTTGTTCAAACTAATTATTTAAAATGGAGCTGAATTAACAATTCTTGAAAGGTTTGAGATAACTTAATTGTTTTATGTTCAATCCACTTAAATTTGTAAAAACATCAGGTTAACTTAAAGTTGTGTTGGGACACAATTGTGTGGAAACCAGTGCACAGGAGCTTAAAACTTAAGTGAAGAATCTTATTTTATTAAAAGAAATTTAAAGACCAACTTGTTTGGCCTCATAATACATCAACTAAAAAATGCATTAAAATATCACTTTACAAATACACTGAACAAAGTGTTGCATGCAAAACTGTTGCAAACAATTTATTTGTGTTGAATTTAAACAAATAAATTAAGTTTTATAATCTTCAACTTTATTTGTTTGTTTAAATTCAACACAAATAAATAGTTTACAACCAGTTAATGTAAAAAAAATCAGTAAATCTAAGGAATCATCTCTGAATAATTTTTTTCAGTGTAATGTACTCATCTGCATATTTAATAAATAGATGTTAAAAACATGCATTAATAAAGATTTTCGTATGTAAATAAATGATGAGGTAAAACTGCAGATTCCATCTGGGCCTAAATGAGTCACTTTGGACATCATATGAACATTAAGAGGATTATAAATAATAATATGCAACTTATAGTCTGGAAAATACAGGAGGCACAAATTCCAACATTAACTGCAGTCAGAGAGAACTAGTCACTTTAAATGCTAATAATGCATAACACTGTATTTGAGTCCTGGAAACAAATGCATCAATACAGTCTGAAGAGACGACACAAAAGCATTAAGACATCTGCATGCACAACTATGTAAACAACATCTCAAACACTTAATGTCATCAGAAAATATTCATTTCTGGCGTCTAGAATTATTTTATGACAATAATAATGAAACAGCACACAATATTAAATGGCCACATGAAAAATGGTTTTTGGTCCCATGGAGAAACAAAACAACCAATACAAATTCATACAAATCAGCACCTGCAGATTTGAATGAGTGAACTCATTTGGTAGTTTTGTCTTTATTTAGGAAAACGACCACCACGTGAACAAGATGAAGGTAAAGAGTTTATTTAATTCACTACGGGATTGTTATAAAGTACACTAAATCGTAATTCCACCACAATAAGTGCAAAATAAACACATATGCAACTCAATGCATATAAATTCAGGGATGTATTGTACTGATTTGACATTGTATTGGTTGATTTGTTTGTCTTAGTGGGTGAAAAACATGTATGATCTCTCAAACCAGTTTAACGCAATTTGTCTTTTTGGGAGTTTGATGCACAATAATTTACAGGTTATTCATCATTTCCATAAGTAGATCTGATCTGGGGTTAGATTTCCTAAAAGCATTGAACATCAATGGTTTCCATGATGTACTCGCACTCAGTGTTTTTAGGAAAAGTAACGTGCTCATTTTTAAAGTTTAATTCAATTTATATGCAGATATGAAATCTAAAAGGTGCAAAAACAATGCAATTAAATGTCATGTTTTCACATCAATCCTTCACTCATGGGGAACCAACTCATCTACACATACAACAATGCAGAGATACTCTTTTTAGTTGTATATACTTCTAAACTATCAATCATTCATTCAAGATTGAGCTTTTGACTAGTCATTAAATTAAAATTACACTATGCTGAACCTGCATTTATTTCTACATTAGAATATTTCCACCATAGACAACAAATCCTCTGTAAAGCATGTAAACATACAGTGTCCACTATATCTCTGAAGATCAAATGCATGATTTCACATTTAATCCCCACAAATTATATGCATTTAAAGAAACAAGAACTTATTTGTTTTCTACATTACAGCTTTATAGACTGACTTCCCCAAAAAAGTGGTTTATAGGATAAGATGCATTAAAATTCTAGTAAATTAAATAAAGAAAACAAAAAAGTAGATTCTAGTGATTAGTGGACACTGTAGAAACACAGGATTGTACAAATAATTCAACTATTATTAGCCCTTTGGTTAATCACAAGAGAAAAATAAATAAATAATTATATATATATATATATATATATATATATATATATATATAAATAATAAAAGAGGATACGACTTCTACTTCTGACTATATCCACTCATACTTAGACCATTTTAGTACAAGTAATTATCACTTTCACTGTAACTGCACATTAACACATGGATGTTTTTGCAATGAATTCATCGATTTTACATTTTAGTTTGTTTGTAATTGTAATAAGTACAAACAGGAACTACAACAACACAAGTTTGTCTAAACCTGCGACAGCATCTTACAAAAGCACAACAGTAATTTAAACCGGTTCAGAAAATGCCATTACTTACAAAACTTACACAGCTGCAAAACAATATAAAGGGCACTACATCCACATATCGCAATCAATTTCTTAAAAGATGACTACGCATGAGGAAAATGGCATGAAGGGGCTGTGTGCGAGGTAAAGTGTTTTTAATTGTCATGTTGATGATGCAGAAAATATTATAAAGAAACTGAAAAGTTTTCTGACTTCACTGTTCTGTATAAAAGCCGCTTGTTAATATAAAGACCTTTGGATGGTTTTACTATGGAAAATCAAATATTTGTGAGGCTCCAACCTAATTATTTCCCAGCAGCATTTGAGGAAAAAAAAAAGCCAAAACTAATACTTATACTAATACTTAATACTTTAGTTTGCAAACCTGGTTTGCATAGTTTCAAATGTAAATTATCATCATTCACTCCCATATTATAACCAATTGTTTTCTAAATAGTCATTATCTTTCAATAAGCTTTGAAAAGAGGGTTTAACATCAAGCAGAGCTATATCTTTAAAATGCTTGATCCCTTTATACATCAATGGAGTTTGAATGACTGCCAGTGCTTTATCTTTTTTTAGTTGTAAAAAACATTCTGAAATTGATCTAAATTATATTGTTTCTTTACATCTTTTCTCATTACACCTGAGCTCTGCTGCTGATTTGCACTAAGAACAATTTAAAATTATGTTTTATAGTTATGTTTGGTGTGAACGGCCTTTTAATCTCAAATATATTGTACAATTGATATTAATAACCTTTCACAATGTTGGTGAATTGCAAAGAACATCAATATAGTTATGAACAGACGCTTTTTTTGATCACAGTGCTGTTTACACTTTTTTTTCTCAAATTTAATCGAGTGGTAATAGCACAGAACAATAAATTTAATTGTTGCAGTTTATCACTGAATATATATGTACAACTATTTTGCATGTAATAGAAGTGAAATAGTATTGCTAAATTACACACACAGCCCCTTTAAACGTGTGGAATATCTTGCCCAGTGCAAATTTGTCTTTCAGGAAAATAGCAGTGGAACAATATCAATAAACTGCAAATATAGCGCATATAACGTATACAAATGATTTCTTTCCCCAACTAGTGTTGCTGAAATTATGAGTAATATCTAAAAGTTAATACGGAGGAAAAAACAACAAAAGCAAAACCAAATAACTGATAATTTCAGATTTTTTTTTGTTAAGATCAAAATTATTACTTTCCAGAATTGCACTAAACAAAACGGACATTGTAATTGTGCTTAAACTGAAGCTCTTCATGCACTGACTATCTATATGCTAAAAATGACTCCTGCATTAATAATTGACATACACATTTGAATGATTTGGCCTGTATGCATTACAAAAAGTGCATGTGAGCTCACACAACACATCACAGAACATACTGCGTCCTCAGCATTTACATACAGTACAAATTAAGCCTGTAGTAAACAGGTCACAGCAATGCCAGGAAGCAAAATATCGAGACACTGACAGTAATGCATCTCGATCAGACCTGAGGACGTTCTAGATACGTTTAAACTCTGACTGTGAAAATATTTATTAAATATGTTAAATGAAAACAATCATATTTAAATCATTACAGACATCTTTACAAAACAAACAAACAAAAAAAGTAAATGAATATAATTCATCAGTCCCCTTTAGAAAAGCAATATAGCAGTTCTTCCCTATTCATACAGCATTGGTGGGGGTCTCATCATAGTATAAAATGCAGAATTTGTCCAGTTCTGACTGCAGATTTGTTTTTAGTTTAAGGCAGTTGCATGTTAGAAGCAAGCTGACAGTGTAAACAGTGAAGAACTGCTACAACTGAAATCTTACATTAACAAACATGGACAATAAAACCAACCGATTGATGTTAACTGATAAAAATGTCAGATCCAGATCAGAAATTAACTTAAGATACTACAAATTAGCAAACATGATTTGAACCTTTCAGATATTCTAGTAAAATACAGAGTGCTGTCTGAAACCCTTTACAATATAAAACATTTAACTTGCTCTGACATGAGACACATTCAGAATGCTTTCTCTTAAAATTATACTGTACAGATGTGCGCAAAACTAAATAATTTAGACAGGAAACTAACCGGACATATAAAACAATTCAATATGGCCTTGACAACTCAACCTAAACACAAGACTACAGCAAAGGTGATGAGTGAAAATGCCAAATGAGGTCAATTAGAGTCCAATCATTTGCCGTTTACAACAATTTAAATGAAGAACTTAAAACACCCGAACCACAATTATTCTGTCAATATCAAATGTACCTACAGAAATGTCAATTCATAACCTGAGAAACATGATTTCGCTCATTCGGTTTCAATGTGGAGTTAAGACACTGACCCTTCTCCTTAAACTACAATGATTTTGACATCGATATTTCATAAATTCAAATGCAATACATGCTGAATTTAATGCAATAGTCACTTTAAGGCATTATGACCAGTTTCAGACAAAATTGGAGTAAGTTTACAACTAGCAGCAAATGTCAATAACCTACATGTGGACAAACACTGAAGTGCAGTAACTTATTTTCAATACATATAAATCTCTTCCATATACAACAATTGCAGGACAGTTTATAGTCACTGGGGCTGATTTTTCACATTAAACTGCTTCAAGACCATGTGCATAAAATGTAAAAGAATCAGAGTATTCAGATCACGCTATATTAATAAAATAAAAGGAAAAAATAGATTAGCTGTAGGGTAATAATAGCATGTCAGAATATTGTAGAATGAAAAACTTACTGTTTTCTGAACACCTTACCTGGGACGTCCTGAACTCCGGCTAAGATATATCCTGAATGAAGAGGAGAGAAAGACAGACAGAGACAGACAAACATATAAAGATACACACCTTCTTCTCCTATTAACGGTGGCGATATTCCCTCTCGCGTTCTCTGTCTCTCTCGCGGTCTCTGTCTCGCTCACGATGGCGGTCTCTCTCTCGGCTGCGCTCCCGGTAGTAATCCTCATGCCGGTCTCGACTGCGAGATTTGTGCCGGCGGCTCTTCTCACGAGAGCGACTGTGATCTCTCTCCCTGGACCGCTCCCGTCGGCTTAAGGATGAAAAGCATCAAAGAAAATAAAAAAGTATTAAATTAATAGATGAATAAACCTGGACAACACAAACAATAGACAATGTCTGAATTTAAAAACAAAGCTGATCATATTTCATACATATTTAACACTAACTGCTTTATTTTGACTTATTTTAATGCATTTTCCAATTTGTTTTTTTTGTGCAAAACTGCATTTGACTCATATAATTTTATTTATAATAATGCATTCTTAAAACCCAAAGTGCTACATTAAAAATAAAGTGATTTGACAGGATCATGAAAATCTCTGACATCATTTATAATTAAATTTCCACTTACTAAAATCCATTGTGTCCCTGATTTAAATCTGCCATGGCACTGGTAATACAAACGAGGTCTCAAAATGCGCATCATGTACATGAAAGATCATGCAAACCTTATGCATCATCCTCCAAAGCAAACACAAAAAAAAGCTAGATCCACAAGATCCTTACCCTGCCACAGAGCCATACGATTTGGACTCGATTCCATGCAAGCAGTCCTGCAGTGAGCTGATGAGAACTTTGCAGCGGTCGTCAGCAGAAACCTTCGACTGCTTGATCAGAGAGATGGCCGTCACCAGAGTCTCTATAGCACTGCCGTAATCAGCTGCAGAAACGGAAACGGTTAATTCACAACACACCACACCTCATATTTGTGCTGGGTGTAATGATCTCCACACCTGCACTGGCATCAGAAACGGCCCTTGAAATAGCGCTGCTGGAAATCGCTCTGTTCCGGTTCATGATCTCCTCAAACTCAGCTTCGCTCAGGGGAGTGCGAGACGCATCCATGTCCCTGAAGCACACAAAATGCTGATTAATGAACACGCGCAAACTAAAAGCACGAGTCAGAGCGAAGCGTAATGCTTCAGGGATCGAATTCACACAAAGAGCTGCAGTGGTCGTTAGTGCTGAATCACATTGCATCACATGTTAAATCAAAGTGAGGCACAGACATTTCAGCAACTAAAAACTAAAGCGACACCAAAATAAAAGGAAATACCATCCAAATGCAAGATAGACAGGTTTAAAAAAATAGTTACGTTTCACGTATGTTTTGTGGTATTTTTGTTGTTTTCTGCTTTGCGCTCTTCTCTCTCTCTCTCTCTCTCTCTCTCGCAGTGGTCCTATCCTGTTTCAGGTGTGCTACCATTGGTCGAGTGAGCTGTCATTCACCTTCGTCACTCAATCGGCGCTAATAAGGATTGGGTCCGCGCAGTATAAAACCGGTGCGCTTGCGCTGTTCTGGAGGAGCGCTTGGCCTGTCAATCTCTCAAACTGTTGACTTGTTTGTTCCGCTTGGTTTGTTTGCGAGTGCTGTGTTCTAGTTTTCTCTTTGTTGATATGGATTTATCAGTTAAACTTGTGCTGCTCAGGTTAATGTATAGTGAGAATATGAACGATCTTTATGAGAATTGGATTACCTGAGATCTTGTTTTGCTAATGGCTAACAGTCTGTACTTTACAAGAATTCTAGTATTTCGAGCAGCTTAGTATAACTTTGTATTAGTTCGTTTTTGGAGGCGTTGCCTCATGTGTAATTATGTTTGGGAGTTATGAAGTTTAGTTAAGCTACGTGCTGAAGATTACTGTTTTGTTTCTGCATTTTTCTTTGATCAGTCAGTTTAGTGGGTTGGGGTTTAGTTAGATCGTTTTGTTATATTTATTTCTTTGTTTTGGCAACACTCCTATTTTTCTTTATTTAATTCAATTATTTAAAATTACATTTATCTTCCATCTCATATTCATTGTTTGACATTATCCATTAATAAATACTTACTTTTTGTTTCACTTATCAAGCGTTTGTGTCTTCTCCTTATTCACCCAGCATCAATGGACTCACTGATTGTTACGTATCATCCTTTTAATTATTTAACATCATTAACACGTAACAATATATAAATACATTTAGGAGTTCACACTTAGACAATGCTTAACTATGATAGCAGGTTTGGCATGCTGTCCCAGGAGAGAACCTGAATCTCAAATCGAAGAGCACAAGGTTCCCGTTTGGTCAATGAGCATTAGTTTGGATAGGAGATCGGGTATTCTTCGAGAGCCCTCTCGTTTGTTTTATACTATGGTTAATATGGTGGTTCTGACTGATTCAGTATGTATGCGTTAAGTGCTTATGACTTTACAGTTCGCTTATGTACATGTTTTAAGACTGTTGGAGGAAACCGGAGTACCCGAGGAAAACATACGGGAACACAGGGTGAACATGCAAACTCATGGCAGAGAGTAACGACTGGCTCAATTAGAACTTGAACCTTTGGCCCTCCCACTGCGAGGCAGCAGCGCCAGCCATTGAGCCACCCTGTTGCCCTATCATATAATTAACGAGGAAGGAGAAGGGAAGGATAGAAGGGGGTTTGCCAAAAACGAAGACAGGGAACGGAGTTTAGGCAGGATATTCATAGTAGTTTTGGAATGATCTGATAGGCTAGCTAATGATCAGTGATGAGGATCAGCTCTAGTTGATCATATCACGTGCTCTTCTAGAAATTAGTTTGTGAAACTTCACTTATTTTTTAATATTTATAAAATGTTATCAAGTTATGGCTGTCAATATTAAAATGTAATGTGAAATGATTAAATTACATCTAAATGTGCTTCCAATGAAAAACAATTGAATGCATATTTGCAGTGTTATCTGTTGTAGTGAGCATGCCATCACAGCATACTATAGTAAGACTGTTCATTTAACTGTGCACATACACTTCGGGCTTTTTAGAGTATAGGTGTAGTTGTGGGCGATGTGTTTATTACCTGCCACCAGGGAAGTCTCTGTCATAAGGAGGTGGGCGGCCGTACGGGTCTCCAGGTGGGGGTCCTCTGCCGTCAGATGATGGCATGTTGTTTCCAGGTGGTGGGAAGAAGGCCGGGTTGACGTGAGGAGCCGGCGGTGGGCCTCCAGGTGGGGGTCCCTGCATGTGTGGTGGGGGTGCGAGGCCAAGCGGGGGTCCTAAGGGCCCAGGTGGACGGGGAGGGAAGGGTCCTGGAGGGGGTGGTCCCTGCTGAGGTGGAGGGGGGCCTGGGGGAGGCCCGTATCCTGGTGGGGGAGGCCCAGGAGGCATCGGGCCCATTGGGGGTTGCCCGAACTGACCAGGAAACAAGACAGGTGGAGGAGGACGGTCTCCTCTGTTAGGGGGTCCGCCGAGGGGAGGAGGCAGACCTTGTCCAGGTGGAGGGGGGCCTGGAGGTCCCAGGGGCCCAGGTGGGCCAGAGGGAAGACGTGGTGGGCCCTGCATACCTGCAAGAAGATTTGATGCATTACATTTTGAAGCAGAGAGGAGAAGGGATTACAAAAATACACATGAAATCAAAACTAACCGTATGATTTTGGGAGCTCACACTGCTAGTTTTGTGGTGAACATTAAACATCACCCATTCTTGATTTAGGACAATTGATCAACTTTTTCTGATTCACTTGAAAAGTGACCCATTCACCTCAGAGCATCAGTTTTCAGACCAAATATTGTTGCCAAATATTTGTTATTTCCTTATTAATTACTGATCTCATTTCATTCCTTCCCAAAGGTACTTTAACATCTACTTGATTTTTCTTCAATGATTCTTTTTGCCAATTTATCTGCCAATTTTATTTCCCATTATTCCAATATGTGCCGGTCCACAACAAAAATGTACATTTTTACCCTCTACTTTAAGTCTGTATAATGTTGTAGAAACTTGCATTATTAAATCTTCTCTATCAGTTGTTATAGATCCAACAACTGATAGAACAAATTACAGTCCTATTTGTTTCCTCCCATTGCAGACCTATAATAATAGCTGTTAGTTCTGATGTATATACTGACAATTCAAAAGTTCACTCCTGTTCAAGCTTATACCTGGGAAGTGTGGTGGAGGACCGCCAGGTCCAACCGGTCCAGGGAAGCGGTCTCCTTGTCCAGGTGGGCCAGGAAAGCGTCTCTGACCTTTGCCAGGAGGGAATCCTCCACCTCGAGATCCTGAGCCTGGAGGACCAGCCTTCCCCTCTCCTGACATCTGTCCTGACTGTGTGCCTGCGTGGACCAAAACACACTCTTCTAAACTGCAGCACACATACAGCAACGCTATTCTCATTCAGTAAGTTTAAAGTCCCCGTGAAATCAAAATTAACATTAGATGTTAGTTTTAAGGATATCTATAGTCTAGTGTGCTCCAAAACAGTGATAAAATTTACATTTACAAGATAAAAACATAAAAAGTTGCAGATTGTCACTTTATCTTAAATGGATTTTTTTTTTTATCAAATCTGCTGGCCAATCAAATGCATATATTTGACACGTCCCACCCATCTTTTTAAGGGGAAGGAGCTATTCTATGTCCCACCCTGTCTTCACATTTCATTGGAAACTACATCACACATCAAACAAAAATGCACATTTCAAAGCAATTCACGGGACCTTTATGATAATGTGAATTGTCGAATCCTCTGCGCTCACTTTTTCGTGACTGCATCTCGAACTGACTGAGAGACTGTTTGTTGCAAGGGGTGACGATGGGGTTTTGTCCATGCAGCTCCCGTTTAGACAACAGATCCATGAGCTTCCTGGAAGAGGAATCTGATCCCACGCAGACCAGAGCAAACCTTTAAAGCAAAGCAAATCAACCGTTTCAAACGCCACAGGGGTGAGGGCCACAGAGAGATCTTTATTATCACGAACCCAGGTCAAGATTCAGTTGATAAAACTGGGTTTTGCTTACCCTTTAGACTGGCCATTTGCTCTGTTCTCAAAAAACTTGATCTCCAGCACATCATTGATGCCTATTGAGCGAATGGCATCTGTTAAATCTTCATCAGTGGTCCACTGTAAAAAGAAAAACACATCAACATTGCATCCACTTAACATCTTAGGTTATTATATAACAGGTGATACTTTCAAATTAAAGTTTGCACTATATTTGAAAAAGTCAGTTTTGATGCATGTTTTGCCTGCGTTTGTTGCATTTACACAGCTTCGACAATCAGGCGTCTATAGCATTTTGCTGTTTCGAACGCTTTGATGAAACACTTTCATGAAGCAATTGTTTCAACTGTCTTAAAGCTTCATTTCTCCTATCACTAGTAGATTATTATGGCAACAGGACTGACCCATGTGAGGTTTCCGATGTACAGAGCGATCCGTTTGCCATTGTAGGTGTAGACGACATTAGCTGGAGCCCCTTTGGAGCCCTCGTTGCCTCCAGGTGCAGGAAGGGAATCCAGGTAATCTCGGTCCTCGGGTGCGTCCCCGTTGTTGGCAGATGGCGAGATGACATCGTCATACAGGTCAATCTGGTCATGAACAGGATAATCCGACTCCTGTTTGTAGAGACACAAATGTAATTATGAAATATTTACAGAAGAACTCAGATTTTCAAACGAGTTTGTATTATCCAGGTAGTGATGTTCAGTCATTTTTGCGGACTTCAATTTATTTAGTCTATCAGAACTGCATAAAAATGTCTTCGACATTACGTACAACAAAACAAACAAAACATGGACATAATGATGCTGATAATAATGATTATGCATAAATGTATTGTAGTTATTAAAAAAGATCATCAATTTCTGAATGAATACCGCCAAATTGTGTTAAGATTCAGATTTGTATTGTAATGTATTTTTTATTTAATGCCATGTCAGAAACCAAGGCTCTTTTTTAGTTTAGTTAATGGCAAGAACTTTTCAATAATAAACATACAACTAAAAACAAATAAATAAATGAATTCATAAATAAGATTCAGTGCTGATACATGATAAGAACTATATACTGATAAGAGTTTTCCTGGGGTCAGTTTGTTAAAAATGTCCTTAAGGGAGTTCATTTCATAAAAAAAGTCTTCTGGAATAATTAAAAGCAAGACAGTCCAATAAAATGTGTGTTACAGTAAGGGGAGCTGTGCAGTACAAACATTGAGTGGAGTCTTCATCTTTATGTAAAAATCTGTGGATTCATCTTGTATGTGCAATCATTCTGGTAAAAATCACTTGATTAAATCTAGTCTTAAAATTCTGTTTGACATTTCAGGTTGGATTTTATACAGTTTATTATTTTCTAGTGCATCCCAAACTTTTCAACACTTATTTAACCCGTATATTTATATAAGGTGAAGATTCAGATATAAATTAATCTACAAAAACAAATAAGAATAAAATAAATAATAATAAATGGTTTAGTTTAATATTGGCAGAGCATACAAACAAAATATTACTAAAAGATTATACCAACCACAAATTGGAAACTTCTCCATTTTTAGATTTACAGCTAAGATATCCACAGTTTTACATTATAGGTTTTATTAAACTTCGTTTAGCCTATTTCAACATTTAACCATCAAATAATAGTTCATAAAACATTTAGTAACTGTAATCTAAAGGATAATTTAGTCCAAAGAAACTGCTAAATATTTTTAAAACCTAATAAAATACACAAAATACATTTTTGATCAACTTTAAAGTCCCAAATATTAATCTCTACTAAAATGTACACATGCATACAACTTATAAACACCTGTAAGTTACACTAATACTATAAATAATATATTCGGTTGATTTAAACGACACCTTGACAAGCTGATTTGCATTTTATTGCAGTTCAATAAAAGCGAAACAGTGTGAAAATTAAACATGCATCATCCTGTCAGCTCATTTAAGAGCGTCTGACACTTCACGAACACGTTTAGGGTTACTTTAATCGATCATAAACAGAGACGTGTGTTGCTGGAGCGATGCTGTGCATCAACACGGCCTGCTTTTTCTGCACGAGCAACAAACAATGAACACGCGACGGAAAATATTGTGATTCGTGTAATAAACACACGCTCTAAACAGAAACTTTAACAAAATACTGATGTTATTATGATAAACAACAAATTATAAGACAGCAACGTTTACATAATTATATTAGCGTATACAAAAACAAGGCTGGGTAGCTAACGTTAGCTGCTAAAGTTAGCAGACGCCCTACTAGTTCAGCACGGAGCGCTGCACGTTACAGCGCGATTCTCTATAATACGTACGTGCTGCACGATATATTCATTATTAATTAAATATAAATGATCAAAATAAAACTTACCTGGTTAAATTCTTCTTCTACATCCGCGTAAATATCGATGTGGTCAACACCGTCCGCCATTTTCTGTTTCCCTCCTCCTCCTCGGTGCTCTCACTGCGCGTGAAGAAGAGACGCCAACGGGTGAAGCCGGAAATTCCCGCGCAAGAAAGCCAGACACGCCAATGAGCGTTTCACAATTTCAGAATACAAGTTACGTTTTTTAATAGTTCTTGTCTTGTAATAATAACAACATTCAATTGTTTATTATTATTGTTATTATTAATAAACATATAATTTGTATTTGATTTTATTGATTTGATTATTACTTGTGGCCTGTTTGGCAAATTTAGATAAAAGTGGTTAGTCGGAAAAACTATTTTTACTAAAACAAGCAAGTGTATGATTTTATATAGGGACGAACTTTAATTTCGTGTTTCCACTTAACTAAACGAGTTAATAATTTAGAAATCCCCAAATCCGGAGTACACAGCATGGATTCTTGAAGAAAATAAATAGCACTGGTACACATTGAGACTCTTATTTTAAAAGGGTTACTCCAAGCGTCTGCTCTCGCTCATATGAGCGCTACATACATCTTTCTCTATTGATTGACGAACACATATTTCATACTTAATGGCAGATCTATACTGTAATTCCGTTCAGTTCAAAACTGATTCACAGAAACCAGTATATAACTTTTGATTGCCTGTATACTATGTTTAAGAAGATGGCTGAATTTGGTCCAGATTCGGGGGGACGGGTGAAGGTGGGTCGCTATCATACGGCTAATGCTGCATGTTCATTTACAACAACAGTCGAATTTAATCGCGTTTTTAAGTATTAAGTGTAATATTTGTATTCTCAGGGAGTGACTATCGTGAAACCTATTGTGTTTGGAAACGTCGCACGTTATTTTGGCAAAAAGAGAGAAGACGACGGACACACTCATCAATGGACAGTTTATGTGAAGCCTTACAGAAACGAGGTTTACATTCATCTGTGCTTGCATTCATAAATATAAATGATACGATTCACATGTAACATATCAAAATATTTGTCTTTTCCTCCTGATGTTCTTAGGACATGTCTGCTTATGTCAAAAAAATACAGTTCAAACTGCATGAAAGTTATGGAAATCCTTTAAGAGGTGTGTTATTTAGTTTATATTAAAGTGTTATAGTTTAATAATAATTTTGATTTTATCCTGCATAGTTGATGAAATGTTGTTCATTGTATTTCAGTGGTTACAAAGCCTCCGTATGAGATTACAGAGACGGGATGGGGAGAGTTTGAGATCATCATTAAGATCTTCTTCATCGATCCAAACGAGAGACCAGTAAATGACATCATATGATTTTTGTTTTGTTCTGTGTGTACATTACATTTTTGTTTTTTTTAAGATGCAAAATATGACCATTGTTTAGCAAGAAATCTTCAAATGAAAAAAAAAGGACTCACACTATATTTATATAAAAATCTAAACTGTGAAAAATGGTGAAAATATGAAATAAAATGAAACAATCTTTTAATTGTTCAAAGGTTTAAAAAAATAAGATGATGTTTTACTTAATAAGATTAAAAAAGCAAGCAAAATGGGTTAAAAAGGGTTTAAAGATATATTTTAAATAAAAAAAAAGTAAAAAAAAAATGCAAAATGTGTTTGTTTCAAGTAGCAAATCATTCCTGGGCGCCTCATTTAGAGCCAGGAAAACCCCTGAAATTATAAAAGAATAATTACTAAATAGCTTGATAAATTGTTAAATTATTTTCCACAGTTTTCCATAAACATTCCACCACTTTGAAGACCACAAAAATGCACGGAAGTAAGAAAAGCATGAGGTTTTGATGTTGTTTTTCTCTTCAGGTCACTCTGTATCATCTGCTGAAGCTCTTCCAGTCAGACTCCAGTGCCATGCCCAAGAAGACGGTCGTGTCCGAGTTCTACGATGAGATGGTGAGCATCTGATCAGAGCTGTGTGAAAATACAGCATTAATGCAATCAAAACACAAGCCTCAAATCTGTGCCCTTCAGATATTCCAAGACCCGACGGCCATGATGCAGCAGCTCCTGAACACCACCAGACAGCTGACGCTTGGCGCTTACAAACACGAGACCGAGTGTGAGTGCTGACATTTACACTAGAGCTGTGGGACATATCAAAACAAATCAAAATGTTGCAATAAATGAGCCATTTAATACAAAATTATCCTTGTGCATCTCAAAAAACAAGCAGATGTAAATGCCGTTTTGTTTTGTTTTTTGTTCAAATATCTGTTTGGATTTTAGTATTGATGCTGAAATACGAGCAAGCACTTAAACTATGTTCAGAAAGAAATAAGACAGCAAAGAGTAAATAAACTATAAATAATCTATTAGTAACAACAACTTACGTAAATTAAAAATCAGCAATTTCTGTCACAAAATATAATATATTTTTAGTTTTACTTAAAGTAATAAATTATTTAATCAAAAAAAACTATTTAATAATTTCTTTAAATTAAATATTATTAAGGAATTGAACACCAGAAAAATGAAGGCTTACTTTTTTGCCGTATTACAGTTCACACACAGTATAAATACAAAGAAAAATCTTAAATGTTTTTGTTTTCCTGATCATTTTTGATGTTTTCAGGTTTATTAAACCTTTATTTTATTGTTGAAATGTCTGATTTGTTTTATGCAAAAGTACAATACGGCTGCTCACATTCTGAAGTTGTACTGATGCTTTCTTTTCACCCCCCAAATTTATAACATAAATACTGTATCTCATCTCAAATTTCACATTATTTAGCATGCTATCACATTCATCTTCAATAGCTCACAGGCCTAATGTAAACTTCTTATAATCCCTGAAGATACTATAAGGAATCACTGCAGTTAAACTAAACCCTCATGTGTCACAGTTGCAGAGCTGGAGTTACGAACTCGAGAAAAGCTGGAATCAGCAAAGAAAAAGACGAGTCTGGAGATCACGGAGCTGAAGGAGAGACTGAAGGCCTCCAGAGAAAACATCAACTTTCTGAAGGGGGAGATCCGCAGACTGGAGGAGGACGACCAGATGAAGGAGCACTGAGGACAGCATCTGCTGCAGCCTTTAAAGGACTCATTTATTTACTTGTTTATTTTGCATTTGATACATATACATTACTGTTGTCCATACATTCATTACTGATGTTCAGTTTTCCTGTCCAGCTCAATACAGCAACATGCGTGACTGCTTTTTGAAATTTTGTAGCTCTCGCTGAGTGGTTTTTGTATGAATAAAACTTTTTTTAGTTGGAATTTACTTCAATACATTTTACTTTATTAAAAAAAAGAATATATATATATATATATATATATATATATATATATATATATATATATATATATATATATATATATATATATATATATACAACTTTATACCGAATAGAATTAGACATGTAAACACAACAAATTGTAAAAAATTAGGCTATTTATGTTACAACACTAACATTTTTGAAGTATTATTTAAATAAGTTTATTATTTTAAATCAAATATATATACATAATTATTTCTTTAAATGAAATATCAAGGAATTGGACTCCCCAAAAAACGTATTTTAAGGCTAAAAGATCAATTACAGTGGATTAAAAAAATAATCCACTAGAGGCTGCAAAGCATGCAGTATCACTGTAATAACTACTAATATGTACAATATTCATTCATTCATTTTCTTTTTGGCTTATTCCCTTTACTAGTTTGGGGTCGCCACAGCGGAATGAACTGCCAACTTATCCAGCATATGTGTTCAAAGTTTTGATTTTAGTATTGATGCTTAAATATGAGCAAGCAATAAACTAGAGACTAAATAAACCATAATTAATATATTATTAGGAAAAACTTGAGTAAATTAAAAGTCAACAATTTCTGTTACAAAATGTAATATATTTTTTAGTTTTAGTTAAAGTAATACATTATTTAGCCTTAAAACATTTTAAGGCTAAAAGATCAATTATAGTGGACAGTGGATTTAAAAAATAATCCACTAGAGGCTGCTAAAGCACAACCATGCAGTAACACTGTAATAACATCTAATATGTACAATATTCATTCATTCATTTTCTTTTTGGCTTATTTCGCCACAGCGAAGTGAACTGAAAACTTATCCAGCATATGTTTTCCGCAGAGGATGCCCTTCCAGCTGCAACCATGTACATTATTATGACATGAAAATTAATGTTTTTTTTTTGTTCACCCAATCAATACTCCAGCAAATATTATGTTAAGAATATAATCAAGCTATATATATATATATATATATATATATATATATATATATATATATATATATATATATATATATATATATATATACATATTAGACATTTCACATTTCAGTTCATGCACACTGTACATAGTACTTCTAATCTGCTTAATATTACAATGAATATGCTATTTTTTTTTTTAAAAGTGCATGTTTTCCTAAGTATTTATTATTAGTGCAGAAACTTCAACTACTCAGCTGGTGTATTAAATATGTTTAAAAAATACATTTTAAGATTAATTGCCATGCACATACACTCAGGGGTGGATTTAACCATAAGTGAGGTAAGCTGGAGGCTCAAATGAAACACCTCCATTTCTATAAATTCTATATTATATTTGGTGAGGGTCTATAAAAATAAAATTATTACATTTGTGCAAATGTGTCCTCCACCCCTGGAGCAGTCAAATCAGGTAAAGATTAAATTATTTAAAAACTAAATACTTCGTTATTTTTTTTCTTGTGAATTCATTTTAGAAAACAAATTAAAAATGTTTACATTGCATTGAAGGGGAACTATTATGCAAAAAAAATCACTTTTATAAGGTGTTTAATTATTTGTGTGGCAGCAAAATAACCAGCCTTTAATTATAAAATTTAATTAATTCTATTGTTTATAATCACACTTGATAGAAACAGTCTGCAGAAACACTTTAATGTTCTCCCTTTATATGTGTGGTCAGAAGTGAAAGCCCAGCCCACCAGTGACCATCTCTCCCTCATTAGCATACAGCATTAGTCGTGTCTTTGAATCTGCCACTATGCTGACACACAGGCATCTATAGCTCCGCCCTCTATTGAAAAGAGCACAATCTCATTTAAATTCATAGCGACAGTCCCCAAAACACAATTGGGATCAAAACCTACAAGGGGCAGTTTCAGAGGAGTCAGTAAACATTATTAGTTTGGTATTTTGAGCTGAAACTTCACACACACACACACACACATACACACACACAAGGGACATCAGAAACTTATTTTACATCTTGTAAAAAGCAACATAATAGGTCCCCTTGAAGATTTAAGATGTATAAAAGAAGATATAAGACAGCAAAATAAAAAATACACAGGATTAGGATTGTTGGGGCCCATGGTTGGAATTTCTTAGAGCCCTAAATAAACCAATCCATCCCCTGCACACACTCTATATTGGAGCAGCATGGTCTAGCAATGCTCTACATTTCTCAAAAGTGTTTAGTCTGGATTTTTCTTGCATTTTCAGAAATGTGTGCCTAAATCCCACAGAGAAACGACCCGGATGCAGTAGTAATGGGGCAAATCTCTCTCTCTCTTTCACCATCATACATCTCTCTCTCTCTGGCCTGATGGTAAAGCGAGAGCGGAGCTGTGAGTTCACACTGTTTCTGCGCGAGCGCCTTCACTTTCTGCTGCTGCTCAAGCAAAATGTCGCATTTATTTACCTAAAAACCTCAGCAAAAAGACGCGAGACTTCACAATCACCATCGGAATAACATTTTTAATCGTTTTCCAGTCTCCTCTCCTCTTTCCTGGACCGCGAAACATGGATAGATGGAAAAGTTTGTGTGCTTTTGGTGCCCGTGAGGGAGTTTGATACGGGCGATGAGTCCCGTGAAGAGATTTTACACATCAGACTGGAAAAACACTCATTTACTGCTCTATTAACCACTTATTAAACACAGCCAGCGGGGATATGACTATAGTAAGTACACATTTATATCATATTTCATAAATCCAATCTGTTCTGTTGTGATTAGTTTGTTAGCTGGCTAGGTAATTAGCATGGTAGCTTCGCAAACTATTATATAATACAAACCAGCCGAGAGTTTGGCTTTAATGTGATATTTTTTCCGCTTAGTGTGTTTTTACGGCTCAAAGACGGAGTTTAAACTCGTTTTTACTCTGATGTTATAAACTGTGACATCAGCATGTTCAAACATTTTGTAATGTGTATGAAGTTAAACTGGAGTTTATCAAAACATGCCGAGAAAAGCTTACAAATACGACGAGCTGTGTTGAAAAACACACAATAAACAAATTTCACTAGGAAACAGTGTGTATTTATAATAATAAGTGTTGGGATTGTTATATTGTGTTTATATTGACGACAGAACTAATGTAAATAGTGGTTTTAAGTGCATTTAAGGTGAATATTTGGATGTCTGGTTGTTACATGGTTGTTACATTATAATTACACTAAAGTATGTTATATCAGACCTGGGGGGTTTAAAATGTTGATCATTTAAAACCCCAGGTCTGAAATACCACACTTTTAAACATCATTTACTATAATTTGATTCGAATAATCATCAAAGCTACACTGAAAAAAGTGCTGCATGCAGTTGCTGTTGCAAACAATTTATTTGTGTTGAATTTAAACAAGCAAATTAAGTTTATTAATGTTCAACTTAATTTGTTTATTCAAATTTAACCCAAATAAACTGTTTACAACCACGTAAAAACTGAGTAAATCCAAGGAATCATCTTTGAATAATTTTTCTAGTATGATTATTAAGTGATCTAGTAATAAAGCAACCTGATTAGTGATTATTTGCATCCTTCAATTGACATGTACCAACATCTGCATGCTGCTTTTATCGCACAAAATGCCTAAAGTTTTTCATGTGGTGGAATGTAAACAACGGCAAGTATATAGCATTCCTAGTATAATGTATCATAACCAACATGGTGTGATTCATAACACCCCATTAGAGGCATTGATCTTCGCAGCTCCTCACGGATTGCGTGTTTCCGAGAATCTGGCTCGAGAACTGACAGCGTGTGTGTTTTCTGGAAAATCAGTGATGCAGTGATTGTGTCCACAAGCACAGATACACAATGAAGAAATACACCTCATTAAACATGTGCTTATAGACATCACCTATATATACTATATATCTGTAGGTCAGCTATGTTTATATATAATAACTGTAAGCTATTAGTTACTCGTTAATCAGTTCTAGTTATTAGTAACTAATAATGCTATGGTAACTAGTCACCTTCACTTTTCTGAATTTGATTGTAGTCTGGCATTGATAACCGGTTTCAAGGTTTACCGCGGTTTGGAAAAGTCAAGTTATTAAAATCGCAAAAAAATTATGATATACCGTTCCTAAGGTATATGTTAAGGCAGTGGTTCTCAAACTGTGGTACCACTAGTGGTACGCGGGCTTCTTTCTAGTGGTACGCGGAGGAATCAAATATGCCATATATGTACATGCTATGTATTTAAAAATGTATCAAAAATGATTTATATATGAATATGATGACAATAATATTTATGAGATCCAGGCAACCAGGTGTTGATAAATAGGCTATATGTAGGCCCACACGGAATCTGCGTGCGCTAAATTCTGCAGATTTTCCGCAGAATTCCGCAGATTTTTAGCCCATTATTAATTTTGTTTATTTACTTGAGTAAATGTGTAAATCTGAATTTATTCAGTTTTTATTCAGTAATTTATTACTTTTTATTTAATAAATTAAGGTTTTAGTTATGATACTCCGCTGGATACTCCCAAAATAATTCCGCAGAAATCCGCAGATTTTTACCAAAATTCTCCGCAGAAATAGCAAAAAACGTCCGCAGATTCCGTCTGGCCCTATGTTAAGACTTTACATTTAAGTACAGCAGTTTTAGTTTTTACTTTTTCACAACAGTAACCTATTTTTAACTTTTAAAAGCACATTTAAATGTTGACATTTTTAGTTGTTTTTGTTGTACAAACTATTTAGCATGTTTAAAGTGGCTGACGTTAATAAATATTCTTAATAATAGGAATTAATCTGCCTGGTTTTTGAACTGTACAGAGCTGTTGCTGCTATTTCAATACTGCTCATCAAGGTGGTACTCGGGGAGAGGTGGTACTTGATGAAAAAAGTTTGAGAAACACTGTGTTAAGGTTTTTAAAGTTTTTTTTCCGCCCATGTATTGTAAAGAAATCTGTGTTTTTGAAACTTATGAAGACAGCAGAAGTCGATGATTTATTTAAATCATTCAGCCTGCCATGTTTACTGCTTCTAAATATTATAAATGATTCCTAAAATTAAGTATATTGTGTTTAAAGGGGGGGGGGGAAGTTGTGTTTTTTGACCCAGACATTTAAAAAGAATATATTTTATAGCAGTAATCACAATACCGTAATATTTTTATCCAAGGTTATCATACCGTGAGAAGCCTATACCGGCCCATGTCTAATTGTAAAGCAATAATGTGCAACTTTTTTAAAGCTGCATTGGAATAATAATTATTGTGAAAAGCGCTATACATATACACTTGATTGAATTGTCCTTCACTTCTCCTATGTGATTGCACGTTGGCATGCACTGATCATGTTGCGATAGATTCAGCTCATGCAAATGTAAGTTAGATGGTTTGTTTCACAGCCCATATCTGACTTGGGACAAAACATTTTGTGCTTTTTTTGATGGGTGTGGTGGTGAATTGTGGATCACCACACCTGGATCGTGGCAGTAGGCAGTCAGGATTGCACTTAAATGAAGGAGTTTTGGGTGGGACGGCTGAGAGCATCACCACCCATCGGATAATCAAGCTTTGGGAGAAATCTCTAATGCCGCCTAGTGCTGATGGACGTCAGGATCCTTGTGGAAAAAGCGGGATGGTTTACAGTGTGTCAAACACAAATCGGTGTGTGTTTGTGTGTGCTGATGGTGACGGTGTTTCTCCTGTTTGCCCAGTGACTCAGCAGCACAGGCTTTATGGCTCTCCATTATTGCATTTGACGCTTTCTCTGACGCACATTTGCAGTGTTATCAACAAAAAGATGCTCGACTTGTCTTCTGCATTAATATCAGAGTGTACAAAATATAGGTTTGTGACAAACCCTTGTTGTCGGCATCAGCATTCAGTGCCGTTTGTGCAGTTTTGTGCAACTTTTTCTAGTTGTCCTCTAATATGTTTTTTTAAATATGACCATTCATGTAGTGCATGATGTTGTTGTTTGGGAATATATAAGGCCTGAGAAAGATTAAAAATCAAATTGCATGCCAAATAAGAAAAAACTCGATTCTGAACTCCTGAAATGAGTGTGTTACTGATCTATGTGGATCCATATTTGCATAGTGATACAGTGTAAAAAATATCTGTGAATTAACAGTTTCCATATTTTGTGATTCACAAGTGCTTTCTGTTTATTTGAGGTTGTGAATTGCATTATGGGATGTTGATCTCTGCTCTGTTGTCTTTTGAGGTTAAAAAAGTGACTTTTAGTGACATTTTTGTAGTTTGAAATAATAATATCATGTAAAAGAAATAATAATATCTAGAGAAATAAGTCTGTGAAATAACAGTAAATGTGCTGGCAGTTTATTACAAGGTGTTTATAGCGTAATATACAACACCAACACAGACAATATTGTACTTTAAACTATTAGAAATGTTTATAAAAGTTGTTGAAAGAAAGATCAACATCCCATAATGCAATACAAAAGCAGAAATAAACGGATAAAATTAAAAAACATAACAAAATATGGAAAACTACTAATTTCCGATTATTTTTTACAGTGTAATCTGTGATCTTCATTGGATACGTCTTTACCCCTTAAAACACTTTGATTGTGTTTTTTAGGGTTGTCGACATCATGCATTTATTGGTAAGAAATCTTTTCTACTTTGTCATAACTTTTATGAAAACTCTCATAGGGGCTGCAAGATTCTGGTTAAAATGAGAATTATGATTCGTTTTGCTTAAAATCAAGATCATAATTTTCTCACGATTCTGTAGATGTAAAATAAAGGTTAATGGGTAAGCATTTATTATTGTTAATTCTCAAACATATGGTAAAACAACAATAATAAATATTAGTAATATAACAATAATAATAATATTAACAATAATCACATGTAGGCATTTGACAAACGTTTTCAAGGTATACCACGGTTTGGAAAAGTCAAGGTCATTATTTTCTGTAATACCGTTCCTGAGATATGTGAAAGATTTTTTATTTACATTTTTTTTAGGACAACAGTATCTCCAGCAGAAAAAAAAATATTTAAAGATGCGTTTTAAATTGTGAAGAAATCTGGGTTTATGAAACTAAAGACAGCTGAAGTCAACGATTCATTTGAATTGTTTAGCCAGACATGTTGACTGCTCCAATTTATTATACATCTTTCAAAAATAAAATATATTGTTTTCAAAGGGGACATTTTTTTATCTAGACATTTAAAAAGAATATATTTTAGAGCAGTGAGCACAGTACCGTTATACCGTGAAACCGTGATATTTTTATCCAAAGTTATCATACCGTCAGAATGTTTAGGCCCATGCCTAATCACATGTGATTTCGCAGCCGTGAATACGTCATTACACTAAAGACAAAATTACATTTTTGGGTGAATTATGCCTTATAAATACAGTATGTGACACTTTTAATGCCAACTGTAGTGTCCATGTTGCTGAGCAACGAATATAACTGTGAAAACTTGTCTGAGCGCTTTTACGATTCTCTTCTGACCTTGAAAATATAATTAGATATATTAATAATAATTAGATAAAATTAGATAAAATATTTCTTGCATCATATTTGGACTTTATTGTTTGTGATGAGAGAATCTGCGAGAATGAATGATTCTCCAAACATTTTTGTCGTGCGTTTCCAGCAGTGAATATTTTAAACATGGCTATTGCTTTAAAACCATAAGAAAAATGTTAGCGATTGATCATTGCTGCACAAACAAGT